GGATTTGCACGCCTGGTGCGAAGGCAAGGATGCGCGCACGGTTTTGAGGGGGAGGACGAGGAGGATGAGGAGGAGGAGGAGGAGGAGGAGGAGGAGGAGGAGGAGGAGGAGGAGGAGCAGGAAGGGGAGGAGGAGGAGGAGGAGGAAAGTCACCAATCGACGTGTCAGGGTAGGAGGTCTGTCCACCTCCGGTGAAAAGGGCCGCAGCGGAAGGAGACAGGCTCTCTTCGCGTGGTCTCCCGAGGGCCCCTCCAGGCAGGCTGGAGCGGAGGGGTTCGGCGAGGAGCGTGCACGACTCCCTCTCGACGCCGACGTCCTGCGAGGCAGCGCTAGGTCGGGCATGTCCCCCTACTTTGGACGCCCGAGATGGGTACTGAAAGAATGGGTACAATGCCCGACAACAACTGTTGTCCCAAACCAGCAGCGGCCGCTGTTGGGCAGGCGGCCTTCTGTCTCAAATGGACACAGGCCGCGGCGGCGCGGACAGCGAGTCCTGTACAAAATGAACAAGAACAGCTGTTAGGCATCGTACCCATTCTTTCCGTACCCATTTCGTCCGTACCGACCTGCGGGCAAATCTTGTGAGCAAGATCACAAAATGTTCAAACTGTGTTCAAAAGTGTGCAAACATGGTAGAAGAATCGTCCCCAGACGATAATCTGACTAGCTATGAATGTTCCTCCTGTAGAGGGACATGCCCGACTGAAAGGCAGCGCTGCCCCGTCCCCGGCCTCGGGCAGCCATGGGCAGCCAGTGCAGCTGGGCAGACTGGACCGACAGCAGCAGGGAGCACCCGCGTGTGTGCCCTTCGTCTGCGGCCGAACTCAATCAGAATTCTACGAAAGCGAGCCTGCATGTTCTTGCCTGGCCATTGCTCGGACGTCCATTCCCTGTGTTTGTTTCGGTTTCGTGCGTGGTTTTTTCGCAGGATGATCCAGGATGCTCCTTAATAATCCCCGCCGAGAAAAAGTGCACACGTCCGAGCGATGCCAAGTTTCAAGTGCGTGCCCTAGCCACACAGGCAAGTGCTGTCAGCGTTCGGGTGGTGTGATTTCTCTTCGCGACGGGTCCCATCCAATCCTATCCCATTGCTCCCCCTCCCCCTGCTCCTTCCCCTTCGAAGCCAGGCGACAGTCAGAGAGATCCAGGCGTCCATCAACGCGGCCCTCATAAACATGGGCAAGAACAAGGCTTGTGCTGAGGATGGCATTGTTGCGGAGATGCTACAAGACAGCCATGAGGTAATGATTGACACAATTGCAGGGCTACTGTGCGTCTTACTGAGTGAACGAAGTAATGTGCCAGAGGCGTGGTTCAATACGAGAATGGCAATCTTACTTAACGAAAAGGGGACGCTACCGTCCCAACAAATTACCACACACACACACACCAACTCACATGATAATGAGAGTGTTGAGTGCAATGAAGCTGTAAGGACGGCCTCGCTGGAATTGGAGAACGCTTTCGACAAGATTAGTATTTCTGCTGTGTTCTCTATTCGATAAGCGACTGTTGTGAAGCCTTGCGACCTACGTGTCGTACAATGGTTGTGCCATCGGCATTTTGGTTGGGTCCAGTTAGACCCCCATACCTTGAGCCGATATTTCCAATTGTTCGTGGATACAAACAAGGCGACCCCGTGTACCTGGCGCTCTTCACAACACATGCCAAGGAATCAATGGCGGAACTTCGCGTGCACTGGGAAAAGCAAGGTTACAGCAGTCAGTGGGAGCAACCTGTTTGGGAAGACAGAATGACGTATTCAACGTTTGCAGACGACACACTGATAGCTAAATCGAGGTCAGCATTGGGGCGAATGTTAGCTGCCATCAGGGATCGGCTTGGGCACATTGGTTTGAAGTTGAACCCAGGTAAGTGCCACATCCAATGTGATGGAAAGACGACGACGCCAAACAAGGATACGCTGTTTGCAAACATGTATCCTCTGTGATGCTGCGACCAAACGTTCAACACCCTTCGTACAACGTCGCTATGAACGGGAACAAAAGACTGGAGGTCGAGGCTCGACTGCAAGCGGGCTGGACGAAGATCTCAATTTGCTGCCGTCATTGGTAAAGGCAGACTCGTCCGAGGCTAGGCGCCTCAGTGACGTTGATTCCACTGTGTCGAAAAAGCGCTCTATGGTTCTATGGTGTGCCGAAACATGTAACTTCGCAATAAAACACAAACGGAAACTGCGAAGCATGCAGCAGCGCATGCTCTGGAGAATGATGGGACCGCGAAACCATGCCGACGAAGACTATGTGCCTTGGATCATGCGGGCCAACAATAAAAGGGCCCAAGGACACACACACACATAACAAATATACAAATAACAGGATTCCCCATATGTTCCCATATTAATTGTGCCTGTGTGTTTTTCCCTCCTGAACAAAGATTGCCGAGGACAAGGCAAGACAAGCTTCTTGCATTGTTTTTCCCATCCGACTTAAGGACCACATCCCAGAAATAATTTCGAGCACCCGGAAAAGTGTCGAAAGAGTGTCGAAACAGTGTCGGACGAGTGTCTCCCAGGGCCCGACAAGTGAAAACCCTCGAGTTTCGGTATTTTGTTGGTGCTCGAAATTCTTTCTGGTGATCAAGGCTAAAATAGGTAAGAACATCATAAATCTTGCAGGCGAAGTGGCAATGGGGGAGGAGATTTGTGAACATGCCGATCGACAAGTGGGCGAGAAGAAGAGACATCGCCTGGTGGCAGGGCTGAACCTAAACGGTGTTTTTCCTTTTCCCTTTTTTTCATTTTCCCTCGCTTTTGTCTTCGATTCGCCTTTACCGCAAAACGACATCGAAACGAAAACGGCCCACGAAATCACAAAAAAACACCGTTTAGGCCCAGCCCTGGTGGACAACGCAATCGACACATTCCTGGTCCTGCCCAGCCCGGTCAAGACCGGGGCGAGGACGATTTGGTGACCTTCGCCGCCGAGAAAATTGGGAACCGTGGTTCCAAACTGCTGCGCGCCTGGATGTGTGGGGCGCCCGCGCACGAGATTACTGAAGGGGCCCAAGGACACACAAATAAATAGACACAAATAAAAAGATTCCCCATATTTTCCTATATTTTCTGGGTTTCTGTCTTCCCCCCCACTTCCCAGATTTTCCCATATTTTCCTGGGGATCGACGATTAATTGTGTCTGTGTGTTTCTTTTCCTCCTGAATTACGGTAGGCTCGCGAGGCGTCGGCGCGCGAAGTTCTTGGACACCGCGTCGATCGTTCAACCTTGAGCCGATTGCGGCCCCGATGTTTCAAGGCTGACCTCCGTTGGGCCCCACGGCGTTGCGGCGTGCCCCTGTGCACCCGCGTCGCTATTCTCATGCGGAGGTCCACCTTTCGAACGCCTTCGCCGGCGTCGCCAGCGCGCCATCTTCGCGTGAACCTGCCCCACACATGCGACGTCCTGATTTTTCAGGACGGCGTCCCCGGGAGTCCACACCACTTCCCAGGGACCAGCTTCTCATCCCGAGTCGGCTTTTGACGGTCCCGAGGCCCGGCGAGAGCCCCCCGAGGCCGAAATTTACCCAAACACCTCCCGTCCTGCATTTTCTACGACGCGATCCTGTCTGGGACCGTACGTGGTGCGCACAAATCCTCTTCTGGGTCCGCGCGCCGGCATTGGTGCGCCGCCTGCCAACCGCTCCTGCCGCTGGCCTTCGACCGGCGAGGCTTCGCATCGCTTGAGAAGGGGCCGACCGTCCCGGCATTCCTATAGTCCTACCACGAAATGTCCTTAGAACCCAAGAATTTGGGCGCCCGAATTATCCGGGGTAACTCGGGTCCGGGGTAACTCGGGTTTGGATTCCCGAAAAAGGAACCCGAGTTATCCCTGACCCGAGTTACCCCTGATGGTTCGGGGCTCTGGACGCCCGAATTATCCGGGGTAACTCGGGTCCGGGGTAACTCGGGTTTGGATTCCCGGAAAACGAACCCGAGTTATCCCTGACCCGAGTTACCCCTGATGATTCGGGGCTCTGAAGAATGTTCTACGAACAAGCACAATGCTCGTAGAACTTGAGCCTCATGTGTTCAAACAAGACAACCCCAGCCAGAAATGCTCTAAGAACATTTCGTGGAAACCACAAAAAAGGTTCTTAGAACATTGTCTGGAAGGGCTATAAGCGAGCCAAGGCGCTTCGCCACTGATTGATCTTCTGGGCCCGCGCGCCGGCATCCGTGCGCCGCCTGCCACCCGCTCTTCGGGGATCTTCTGACCTGGGTCAATCCAGACCTGGGTCAGTCAAGCCTGCAGGATCCTGCAAGCTCCTGCAAAATCCTGCACCCCAAGCCCGGGTCAACGCGAAGGATCCTGCAGGATCCTGCACCCAAGCCCGGGTCAATGCGACCCTGGCCCTGCAGGATCCTGCAGGATCGGGCGCTCTGGCTGACCCCCGTTTGCATTGACCCCCGTCTCGAGGCTCCCGAGCTCTGGCCGCCAGCCGTCGACCGGCGAGGCTTCGCATCGCGTCCCCTGGCATGGTGGCGCGCTCGCCGCGCCGGTCGGAGTGCAGCAGTCGGGCTCGGCTGGGCAGGGCAGCCGGAGAGGACACAAGGCTTCCGTCAGAAGTAGACCACAAATACACCCAACATGGTCAAACATAGTAGAAAGATCGTCCCCAGACTACTGTTTGACCGCTTTTGAAGGTTCCTCCTGTCGAGGGACAGGCCCGACCCAACACAAAACTCTTCCGACGGCAGCGTGGCCCCAGAACACCAGGAGGGCATGCGGGTTGCAGAGGTCGGGACAGACGGGGCACAGAGGTGCCCTCGATTCGGCATGGCCGACCTGCCCTTCGGGGCCACCTCGAGACCTCGGGGTCGGGGGCGCTGTCGTTGTGCCGTTGCCGGGTGGCTTCCGGTGGCGGTCGCCACAGTTGTCAGGGCAGCCTCGGAGCATCTGCGGGCCCCCTCCTCCCAGGTGCCCCTCCCCCCCTCCGCTCGACGCCCGCTGCCCCTCGCCTCCCCTCGGCCCCGGCGCCCGTCCTTCAGGCGGACCTCGTCCTTGGGGCACTCCGCCTCGGACTGGTCGTGGTCCCACTTGACTTTGATCGTGCTCTCGCCGACCTCCACCACCTCGCAGACCGACGAGGAGGGGCAAGCGTGCGAGAAGGAAGAAGAGAGGAGGGGAGGAGCAGGGGGACGGTGACCATTTTGCGAAGCGACTGCGTCAGTGGCTGCATGTAGGTAGGCCCCGCAAGATCGTCGTAATGATGATACCAGCATCACGGCGTAGTGAATTCTACGATGCTTGAAACGTCCTTGGGCACGCAATCGGGCACTAGACGAACCCCCTCCATCGTCTCAAAATTTGGCGCAGAACAATATCGGACTCCGTTCTGATTGCAGACACATTGCTAGCACCAGCCGGCTCATGCGGCGAGTGACGAACGAATACATGCGCGCCTTCACACGGATCAGTTCGCATGCGAGACGCCGCCGAAGCCACAACTTCGGCCTAGACGCGCACCATCCCAACGTCTCAACGAGAAATGCACCCGTCGTCTGTCATCTGAGCTGGAGCTCGGGGCTGAAGCTTCTGTCCCCACGCGTGCACTTGGTCGGAGCAAACTCGGCGTTCCCGTTCCGATCCCCTAGGACGCGGGAGGGTCTGGGCCTGCGACCCCCCGCGCTGGATGGGGCGAGGCCTTGACCTTGAGGAACACAACCGGTTGACCAGCGCACCTCGCTACTGGACTGAAATGGGTAAATAGCAGGGGCCGTGCATGTGAACAGGTACGACCAACCTCGGCAGTCCAACAGGCTCCAGATGGCAGGTCTCTGTCGTTTGCCAGATTCTGAGGACAGGTCATCAGCTCTTCCAACTTCGCGCTGTCCTCCTCGTCATCTCTGTCATCACCAACTTTCCTTCCTCCTTCTTATGTCCATCCCTTGCCAAATTTTCAGATTCCTGCTCGCGCTCCGTGACGTTGCGAGATCCGATTCTCAGTTCAAGTTTCAGCCAGCACCGCGAGCGCTGGGATCATGATACAATTTGAAAAGGCACGGGCGAGGGGGGGAGACAAGGGCCCATCCACTCCGGCCCCTTCACATCCCTCCAGACACTCTCCCAGTCCCCCCTCCCTCTCCCTGTCACTTTATCTCCTTCGCCCTGCAGTATCAGGCGAAATCGAACTGGGAAGTCAGACCAAATCGGACCGTGCGTCGGATCGGGCCGCATCGGCAAGGAGTCGCGATCGAATCGGATCGGGATCCACATCGACGCCACGCGAACATTGGGTGTCGGACCGTCGGAACATGGCAATCGAATCGAATCGAGTTTGCACCGCCCTCCCGCCCTCCCCCTCCGAACGCTCCCCTACTCCTCCCTCTTCCTTGTCCTCCTCCTCCTCCGACTCCATCTCCTCTTCTCCTCCCCTCGCCTCCACCTCCCCGCCCGCCCTCCTCCTGCACCCTCGTCCTCTTTTTCTCCCTGGAGGCCCCTCCTCCCTCTCCAGAGCCCCCCCGCTTCTCCTCCCCGAGCATTCGCCAATCTGGCGTCTCAACCGAAACGCCCCGCAAAGCCCTGCTCCTCGCCCACGGGTTATGTCGTTCCCATCCTACTTAAGGACCACATCCCAGAAATAATTTCGAGCACCTGGAAAAGTGTCAAAAGAGTGTCGAAACAGTGTCGGGCGAGTGTCTCCCAGGGCCCGAGGCGTGAAAACTAACCCTTGAGTTTCGGTAGGTTGGAGCATTATAGCCCACAGGCACCTCTCGCTCCTGCCCAACTTTGTACCAGCCCCCCACCTGCTGGAACGGCAAGACAAGCACCTGGACTACGGAAGCCGCGAGCATGCGGATCTGCAGACCCCGCGGAGGTCAGAAGCCAATCTGCCGGAGGTCTGAGACAGGAGCCCTCCCTGCTGAAGGCTCGCGACCCCAATCCCAAACCCCCGACTTTGTGGGACTTCAATCCCAAATCCCCGACTTTGTGGGACTTCCGCCTGAACAAACTACAATTTGGGGCCCACTTCAAGGAGATACGATGGGAGGTGTCCATCCTCGATACTGGGTGTGTCCGGACAGTCCCCTTGGGATGGCGTCCCCGAATTCCGCTTCTTCTAAACGGCAATCCTTGGGGCGAAGACAGCACCCGCGACCCCCCCTTCCCCGACATCCGAAGTGATGCTGTTCGATGTGGGGCCACAAGAGTCCCGACCCCTTCCCCGGGGCCTGTTTTTCCCCCTCGATCCGTTTTTGGTGGTTCCTGGTAATGTAGAACAGGGCTAGGATCGGGATAAATCGCTCCAGAGCGTTCGGGAGCGCTCTCAGAGCGTTCCAGAACGCTCTGGAGCGGCCGCGGCACCCAATACATCCTCCAAACCCGCCGATCCTCAGAGATTTCGAGTTATCCCGATCCGATTTTGTCCCGATCTTCGCGTCGTTTTATAATGGGCCCCGGAGGCGCGAATACTGGAGAATCACATCGTTGAAGACATCACATCGTTGAAGACATCGTTGAAGACATCACATCGTTTTTATAACCGCCCGTTGAAGAATCACATCGTCGGAGATCCGTAGACCGTTGGCCCCTCGAGGTCTCGACCCGCTCCTTGGGACCAGCCCTCCCTCCCGAGCGTGTGTGGCTGCTGGACGGTGCCGAGGCCCGGCGAGAGGGCCCGCAGGAGCAGAAAAGCACACAACTGTCCCCCTGTGATTGGGCGTGGCTTAATGGTGGGGTCACAAATGGGGGGGTCAAAAAAGGTCCCCTTTCGTGCCCCTTTCGGGCCCCTCCAGAGCCCCAGGGGGCTCGTTTAGGTACCGTTTGGGTACCTTTTCGAACCACCCTCGCCACCCCCCCATTTATGACCCCCCCATTACGCAGCGCCCAATGTGATTGCCTCACGACGCGACCAGTCGGCCCGAGAGCGCCGCCGTGACGTCGAAGAAGCTGTTGCCGTACTTGGCCTCGGCCCTCGCGCCAGCAGCGAGCCCGCCCGGCGGCGTCTGCTCGGCGTCGCCGCACCTCACCTCGGCCTCGAAAAACGGGGCGGGGAGGAGTCTGGTCTGACGTGGGAAACGCAAGGACGTACTGGCACTCCACGGCCCCCCTCCCAGGCGCACGCCCAGACCGAGAATATGGCACAGACGTGTCATCCGCCACCGTGCCTTCAACACGCAGTGGAGTGCGGGCAACAGTTATATCCAGATCCAGGGCGTCTTGGACTTTCGTGGAAGGGGCGCCGCAAGGCCGAGGCGCACTGGACATGGATAAAAGTCGAGCCTCTAGTAGGGGCCTGACTTTTACCCATGTCCAGTGTTCCTCGGCTTTCTGGGGAAGGGAGCCCGAAACCCCAAGCTGCAGTGGATGTGACCACAGGTTTCGCCCGCATGGAGTGCCCCGAGGCTCGTCAAGTGTCAGGGTCCAGAGGACTCGCTCTCACGGGGCGGAAGGGCCCCGACCCCGGCTTCCCGCGCGCGCCCCTGGGAACCCCTGTCGGACAAGCCAGGAACCCCTAAGACGGTCAAAGAGGCCCCAAAGAAGCCCCCAAAGGCCCCGAAAACCCTCCAAGAGACCCCCAGGAAGCTCCCAGGAGGCCCCAAGAGTGCCCCAAGAGTGCCCCAAGAGGCCCCTTCCTCCTCCTCCTCCTCCTCCTCCTCCTCCTCCTCCTCCTCCTCCCCCTCCTCCTCCTCCTCCTCCTCCCCTTCCTGCTCCCCCATGCGTTCCCCGAAGTCTTTCCAAACCGACTCGGAAAACAACTGGCCAGATAGCTTGGCCAAGCTCTGGCCCAGCTGTCGGCCAGAGAGGCGCTTCCAAAGGGGCAGGGGGCGGCGGTGATTCGCCGTAGGCGTCTTCGATCCGTCGCCCCCTGTCGATTCATCGCAGGGGTGCCTGGCGTGCTGAATCCTTTCGGTTTTGGTTTTGGCTCTTTTTCCGAAAGAACTCCCCCGGGGGCTTCGGCCCGTTCCGCCGGCCACGTGGAAAGGTTGCCCAGAGGTGGTTACAAACAGTTGTTCCTGCTCCAGGCTGCTCCAAGACGGCACAAGATGGCCTCCAGGACACCTCCAAGACGGCCAGCATGGCCTCCAAGACGGCTCAGCTGGTACCAAGATGCCTCCAAGATGGCCCACGATGCATCTAAGACGGCCTCAGATAGCCTCAAGATGGTTCAAGACGGCCCAAGAGGCCCCCAAGAGCCCCCAAGACGCTTCCAAGAGGTCCTCAAGGAGGGGCCGAAGAGGCCAAATCATTGGTTTTCTCCAGATGTTTGACGGATTTGGGAATGTTGCTTCTTTTCTCCCTTCCGAAGACCTCAAGACGGTCCAAGAGGCCCCCAAGATCGCCCCAAAATTGCTCATGAGGCCTCCAAGATGGCCCCATGACGGCCCAAAAAGCCCCCGAGAAGGCCCCAAGAGGGCCCCAAGACGGCCCAAGAGGCCTCCAAGACGCCCAAAATGGCCTCCAAGCTGGACCCGAAGCGCCCCAAGAGGGCTCCAACTCGGTTCAGAGAGGCCCCCAAGACGGCTCCCGACGGCGTCTGACGGGCCAGGAATGCCATAAGACTGCTAAAGAAGGCCCCGAGAAGCCCCAAAAGGGCCCCAGGAGGCCCTCAACAGGCCCCAATAATGGTCTCCAAGACGGTCCCAAGATGGTCCAATCGAGCCAAAGAGTGCCTCAACAGGCTCCGAAGAGGCATCCTCCCCCTTCTCCTTTTTCCTCCTTCTCCTCCTCCTCCCCTCCCTCCCCCCCGCGTTCCCCGAAACCTTTCCAAACCGACTCGGGGAACACATGGTCCGATAGCTTGGCCAAGCTCTGGCCCAGCTGTCGGACACATGGGCGCGTCCGCAAGGGCAGGGGGCGGCGGTGATTCGCCGTAGGCGTCTTCGATCCGCCGCCGCATGTTGGCGTGCCACAGGGGTGCCTGGCATGCTGAAGCCCTTACGGCTCGGTTTCTGCTTTCCCCACAGGGATTTCTCCTGGACCTTCGGTCCATTTGCGCGGGCCACCCGGGGAGCACCCCGACATCCAGAACGAACCCCCCATGGCGGCTCAAAGATGGCCACCAAGAGGGCAAGATGGCCACCAGCCTCGCCCGAGAAGGTCCAAGGTGGCATCCAAGACGGCCCACGAGATGCCTCCAAGCCCAAGAGAGGCCTCCAAGAGGCCTTCGAGGAGGGCCCGAGAAGGCCACAATCGCTGATCTCCCTTAGGTTCTTGAAGGATGTTGGCATTTGCTTCGTTTCGGCCTTCCGACGGCCCAAGACGGCCCCAATATCGCCCCAAGATGGCCCCAAAGGCCTCCAAGATGACCCCATGACTGCCCAAGAAGCCTCCAAGACGGCCCAACGAGGACCCCAAGACGGCCCAAGGGGCCTCCAAGGCGCACAGGCTGGCCTCCAATACGGCCCTGGAGCGCCCCAAGAGGGCCCCCCAGTCGGTCCATCATCCCATCATTATCAACATCATCCACAACATCAACGCCATCATCATCAACACCGGGACACCATGATCATCAACAACATCATCATCAGCAACATCATCATCGGGACACCATCATCATCACCAACATCACCATCATCATCATCACTATCATCATCAACATCGTCAACATCATCATCGGGACACCATCATCATCACCACCATCACCATCACCATCACCATCATCATCATCACCATCATCATCATCATCATCATCATCATCGTCATCCACATCAACATCAACATCATCATCATCGGGGCACCGACGGGACACCAGCGGGACACCGCCGGGACACCGCGGGCCACCGGCCCCCGGACAGGAATCATTTGGTCTGGCCGCGCCTCAGCCGGAGACGGGACACCGGCGGGACACCGCGGGCCACCGGCCCCCGGAAAGGAATCATTTGGTCCGGCCGCGCCTCAGCCGGAGGAGTCTTTCAAACGCCCACGCAGCTTCGCCCCGCCCGCACGCACGGCACGCACGAACACGAAACCGAAATCGATTTCCTGTTAGGGGGGCTCTCCGTTCCACTTCGATCTCACCCCCTCACCTCCTATATATATATATATATCGAAGTGGAACGGAGAGCCCCCCTACCGGGAAATCGGTTTCGGTTTCGTGTTCGTGCGTGCCGTGCGTGCGAAGCGAAGCTGCGTGGGCGGGCGAGAAATGCCCCGCCTCTGGCTGAGGCGCGGCCGGACCAAAAGTCTCCCTTCCGGCAACCGGTGCCCCGCGGTGTCCCGCCCGTGTCCCGCTGGTGTCCCGTCGGTGTCCCGATGACGATGATGACGATGTTGATGATGATGATCATTTCCGTGGTGGTGATGATGATGGTGACACGAAGATGATGATGATGATGATGATGATGATGATGATGATGATGATGATGATGGTGATGTTGATGATGCTGATGGTGATGATGGTGTCCCGATGATGATGACGATGATGTGGCTCATCCTGAGGATGCTGATGATGATGAGAGGATGAAACGATGATGATGAAGATCAAGATGATGATGGCGCCCCGATGATGATGCTGAGGTCGATGATGATGCTGTTGGTGATTAAAATGGGGATGATGATGTTGTCCCGATGATGATGATGATGATGATGATGATGATGATGTTGGCGATTATGACGATGACGATGATGGTGTCCCGATGATGATGATGTGGATGATGGTGAGGTGATGATGATGAGCTTGATGGTGGTGGTCCGATGATGGCGATGCTGAAAAGATGATGATGTAGATAATGATGATGATCGTGTCCCGGTGATGATGATGGTGATGATGATGATGGTGTCGATGATGCTGGTGCCCCGATGGTGATGGTGTTGGTCATGCCGATGATGATGATGAGGATCATGGTGTTCCGATAATGGTGATATTGATGATATTGTTCATGATAATGATGATGAGATCATGGTGGCAATGATGATGGCGGAATTCCGATGATGATGATGTTGTCCCGGTGGTGGTGATGTTGATAATGATGGTGAAGATGACGATGATGTTGTCCCGATGATCGTGAGGATGGTGATGATGATGATGATGGCCACGGTGGTGGTGATGATGGCGTCCCGATGATGATGCTGATGATGATGATGATGTTGGTGATGCTGATGGTGTCCCGACAATGGTGATGAGGACCCCGATGATGTTGATGATGATGAAATAATGAGATGATGATGATGATGATGAAGATGAAGATGATGGTGTCCCGATGGTGATGATGAGGTTGATGATGATGTTGATGTTGGTGATGATGATGGTGCCCCGATGATGATGAAGATGTTGATGATGGTGATGACGATAATGGTGTTGAAAGATGAAGTTGGTGATGAGGGTGATGATGAGGTCATGCTGGTTTTGATGGTGGTGGCTCAATGATGATGATGTGGCTGATGATGATGATAGTGTCCCAAAGATGATGGTGATGGTGATGATGATGATGATAACGATGATGATGGTGTCCCGAGGATGATAGTGTTGATGATGATTACGCAGGAATGAAGATGGTGTATGTGGAGCACCCTACCTCTGGAGTAGCCCCACCTGATAGTACGTTAACCTGGATCCACTCGTTCCTCTCGAGGAGGTGCGTGGTCAGCTCGAGTGTGCAGTTTGGTGTCCATGTCGGTGCCCAAAACCACAAGCGCCATCTCCACGGCCGCCGTCAGCTTGGTCGCTCTTGCAATAGGTTCTGGCGCATCTGAGAAACGAACCCATCCAGATTTGCTCAACGCACGTGGTGCCGTAGTCCACCAATCCAGTGGAAGTCCGTATCGCCGTGAAATACCCACTCGCGAGCAGTGGTGCTATGGGCATTCCTCCCAGTAATCTCTGAAACCCGGAGACACAGAACCACAAAGCTTGCAATCCTTGCCCGAACATCTCCGCGTCTCCGAGGACACTGCTCCAGCGCGATAGATTCGCACCAGCCGCCTCTCGTCCTCAGAGACGCTGATAAAACTGCTTGGATATGATACTCGTCTCTGCGTCCACATCCACATTCAGAATCTCAGCAGCGTCGAACCTCGCGTCGTTGACCATAGCCAAGCATCGTATCCTTGCTATACAGCGTAGAACGTGATCGATCTTCTTCTCGTAGCGGAGGTCTCCGCCAGGGCGGTGTGTCCAGAAACGGTTCTGGCCGTCCACCACCCCTTGCAGGATACTCACCACTCTATGATCGTCCGTTGGGTCCACCTGCAAGCAGCAACCCCGACGATCGGCGTATGATATGAACGTAAGGCCCAACACCTGCGTATGTCGTAGTATCGCTTGCTCCAGAAGGGTAGACCACACCAACCGCTCTTGGGCAACCACTTTGAAAGCCTGCAATGCCCCAGACAGCTGAGGATGAAGGTGTACATGCTGTGCCCACCATCTGCCATAGCACCACCACTTGTTCGTCGACCGTGTGATCGCACGAAGAAGCGCTCTGCAAGAGACCAAAGGTGGTGGTGCTATCAGCGGGCATGCCCACAACTACAGTGGGCGAATGTATGCAACTGCCAGTCTGGCACGAATCTCAGCTCCCCCAGGCACAGCCCCCAGGGCACGGATCGCAGTATGAAGTAGTTTGTCCCAACCTCCTCGTAATGATATCGGCTTCGTGGCATCTGCAGGCGTCGCAACAATTCCCAAGTGCTCGATCCGCTTGGGTGGTCGGTCCGTCCTGTCCCACATCTGCCTCTTGCGCTCGTTCTCCTTGAAGCCGACCGCCGTGTCGAAGCGCCGCGTGTAGGTCAGGTCCCTGGCGAGCTCCTCGGCACTGGTACTCGTGAGGGACCTGTCGTCCATGAAGGCGTGGCTGACTGGTGGCTGCCAAGGTGCCAGGGCCGCGATCATCGTAGCTGGGGCCACCGTGTCTCCCTGCGGGAGACCTCTCGTCGCCCAGATGGGTGGCGCCAACGAGGAGTTGACGCTGCAGTAACGTGGCCCTCTCCACGCGGCCACGGCGGTGAAAGTGACTGCTGCGGGCATCCCTGAACAAATGCATGCCTGGGCCCCCACTGCGTGATCGATGTTGTCGTAGGCTCGGCTGAGGTCCAATTCGGCACCGGCCTCCGACGCTTCACACGAATGCAACCAACTGCTGATAGCATGAACCACACTCGTCGCACGTCGTCCTGCATACTTGTTGTCAGGCGGCTGAGGCGCCCCAGCCGATAGTGCGGACAGCCGCGCCCTGACCAAGATTGACCCCACAGAGATGAGTCGAAACTCAACTTCACTTTTTGGGATTCCAACCACACGCCATGGAAATATCATATCCACAGCATCGTGATCGAGCATGCCCTGCTTGTCCACACACTCGCGGCTGGTGTCGCACCAGAGTTCGTGCAACTGCAGGATCATTTCTGGGAAGAAACGGCGTAGTAGTTTGAGCCCCGTAGCTGTCCATCCGTCCAGACCAGGAGCCCCATGACATTTGGCAAGTACAGCATCAAAGTGAGCGAGACTCGGCAACCAATGCTCGTTCTCACGAGCCTGGGGGAATTCCACATTCGCAGCCCACTCCTGCCAGCGTGTGTAATGGCCCGCAGCATCATGTTGATAAGGCTCAGGCGCCCACTTCTGTTCCCATTCTTTGTGCATCTCCACAACATCCGCTGGGGCCGTCGGTGAGGCAGCCCTGAATCATGGCGTGGCAAACTTGTAGATATCCTTGCTCCAGCTGGCGAACCGTCGTCGCAACTCTCGAGACTGAGACTCCTGGATGCTGCGTTGTTCCCTGGAGATACCCGCACTGAGCAGGTCCAAGGCCTCCGCATGCAGCGGGACCCCGTAGAGGGGCACCTCAAAAAGACCTTCCCAACCAGCACGGGCGAAACGTGCGAACATATGGCCCTCCAAACAGCGCGTGGCTGCTGTGGGGTCCTGCTAGATGACCTCCGATACCTGTCGATGCAGTCGTAGAAGTCGGCGCAATGCAATCGTCTGAGCAGGGCGGTGGAGAGCACCGTGGGAAGCGGGCTTCGTCGTCGGGCCGGACCCCTTCTCCCGCTCGCTCAACCTCTCCACCGACACGTAGTCGTGCTCCACGGCCAGCTTCAGCGCCAGCTCTGCACGAACATGCCAGTGTCTCCATTTAGCCGTCAGCGGTGCTTGGCAATGATCGCCCAGAGCTGGGTCCCCCACGCTCGGCATACGTTCATCCAGCTCACTTCGCAATGCATTCAGCTGGTGTTGGTGAGTTGGAAAGGCTTTGAACGTATACAGCGCCGTGTGGCGCAATCTGTGCTGAAGTCGGTGATACATCGGCTCCTACAGCTTGTAGTGGACCATGCCGTGGAAGGGTGCACCAGGCAGCTGCTGGACGTTCACGCCCTTCGGTAGGTGCGGTACTGGTGGCCCATAGTAGAGGCACCGCGTCGGAGTGGTACCTGCTGTGGTAGTCGGTAGCGTTGGTGGACACATGACCCAGCCAGGCCCCATCATAGAATTGCATCTCGCCTTCCAAATCAAATCACCCAAGACATACAGTGGACAACCGTGGACCGCGAGGTTCTGAGCGACAGCGAGAAATCTCGTCCACCAAGCTGGGTCCTCCGCATTCGGGCCGTAGACGGACAAGTATATGCAGTTTGACGACTTGATGCCCACAACCCGGTGGCCGAAAGACTCGTCACGGATGATCGAGAGCTTCCCGACCGCGTTCGGCTTCCACGCAATGGCACGCACCCCTTGACGAACAGCAGCTACGTGTAGGAGGTGATAGAGGCGAGCAGGTAACCGACCAGCCCCACCGCTTGCAACACTCCAATGCCCAACGAGGTCGCTCCTCACGTTGTCGAAGCTCCTGCAGGCATAGTAGAGAACAAGTATCTGAATGACGAAGCGCCTCCTCCAGGCGCGCCTTTGTGAGAGCAGTCGCGTTCAAAGTGGCAGCTGTAGCACGGGCGTCCACGGGCTCATGCGGCTGTGCTTCCTGAGAACCACCTCCCACCAACGGATCATCCTCCAGCGTTTGACTATGTCCAGCATGTGACGACTGCGCCTGGGATGCAGCCGTCGGCACATGCCAGGCGCGACCAGGACTTGCGATCATTACTCCAGAACTTCTGGCGGTGGTAAAGGGCCTGGGGTCACACCCCTTGCCCATGCGTTCTGACCGACGTCCAGCGCGCGGCGGCGGCGCCTGGCTCGGGCTCGAGGAGCACCCGAAGCCAGGACTAGTGTTCTGACGAGATAGTCACGAAGAGGCGGCCGCAGCCGCTGCAGATGAGGACGCCGTCGATGAGGACGCAGACCCCGCAGCAGCTGGGCGCCGAAGCACTGCGCGCTCTTCACGAGACATACGATGTGATACCAACCTCCATGGCCTCAGCTTTGGCAAGGGGGGCCCAGCACGGCGTAGAGCGTTGCGCTTCCGCATGCGGATCCGACGTTCACTGCGAAGGCCTCGCTCCAGGATCTTCTTCTTGTACTGAGGATCCCTCATCAGCTCGACCTGTCGCAATCTGTTGTTCTCCTTATGTTTGTCTCGGGACCGCTTTGCAATGCGATCCTGGATAGCGTTCCGCCTCTTCCTCTCCGTTGGACCAGGCAGCTTGTCGTGTAGCTGGATCCTGGTCGTCAACCCCTGTGGCCGCAACTTGCAGGGGTCCGTGCGGAGGCGAAAGATCGGTTTCTGAGCACCACAGCGGGGGCACGTGTAGAAAGTCACAAACTGGTTGGGGCGCCACGCCGTAGCCCCCGCCTCCTCGGACGTCTGACATAATTGAACATGGAACTTTGTTGGCAACTGGTCCTGCCACGACTTGTACTTCTGCCAGGCGATGCGTCGAGCTGCCCTGGCTGCGGCCCCCTGCGCCACCTTGTTGGCGCCGCCATACGAGCAAGGTGGGGCTCGAGCAGGCGGCGGCTCACCAACGCAGTAGCGCCAATGAACGCGGGCTTCCTGGAGTCGGCGTGGATGATTGTCCGCTGTCGGCCTCCATCCACGCCCAGGCGTTGGACAACGTAGGTGTGCACCAGGACCCTGGAGATCAAGTTCCTCGTCAAGCACTGGTGGAGGCTCGCCCGCTTCAGATGGGCCCAGGAAGCTGCGAGCTTTCTGATTCGAAGTGGCACCTCTCTTCGAACCTCTGGCCGACTGTGGGATCCCAAGACATGACCTGGCATCCTCAAGCTCTGAGGTACGAGCGGCACTGGCAACAGACTTTCCTCCTCCCCGCAGTAGACCACCACCACCTGTGAAGATGTCAGGGTATGGAAGAGCCGGTTCCCACCATACAGTGTCCACCGCCGCCGGTAGCGGCGACGTGACCTGCAATAGTTTGAACCCTTTCTTGGGGCTCGGCGTCGTTCGGGTCCAAATCTTGAAACCGAAGCCTCAGACGGTTTTGAAACTTTTGGAACTGTTGAAACTTTTGAAACTTGTGGAACTTTTAAAACTTTTGAAACTTTCAAACGTTTCAAAAGTTTGAAAACCATCTGAGACTTCGATTTCAAGATTTTGACTCGCCGCTCCATCGGCGCCGCCTGATGAGGGGGCCCTTGAGGGGGTCCATCCATATTCCTTGACTTCCGCCCGCCCCCCCCTTCTCGTCTCGCTCGCCGCCGTTCAGGCTCAAGGCGACCATACTTGGCAGGATAGCTCACGCCTGTCTGGGCTCGTTCGCGCGCCGCGCGCTAAGGTGCGATGGCAGAGCACAGCGATCTCCCCCTGAGCGTGAGGAAGACGGTGGACGCCATGTGGGCGGAGCACGGCGAGTACATCGCAGGGAAAGCAGGGTGCGAGGCTATCCATATCGAGAGCGCGCGCATGGCGCATCCTGCGTTTCCTATCTTCGGTTGCGCGTTGGCCACGACACCTGTTCTCTGCAACGGGGCCCGCGTCAAGTTGTGGGGTTCGTTCGACCACATCGCGGCGATGTGCTTCAACGTGAACCACTCCCAGACGAGGAAGTCCCGCTGGACGCAGATGGCCGAGAAGCTGATCAGGCCCGTGGACACTGCAGTGACCATGCGGCTCGAGATGATTTGGAAGCTCAAGGCGCCGGCAGAGAAGGCGGAGAAGCCCGCCGATGGGCCTGGCGATGAAGCGGCAGGCGAGCATCCACAGGCGGCGGCGGGCGAGCACACGTCGTACTCGGCGCTCCCTGGCGCGTGGTCCGCGGCGTACGCGGGCGGCACCGCTGAGCGTTGCAAGGAGAGGTGCGCGGGTGATTTCGCACAGACGAAGTTCACCAAGAAGGGCGGCAAGTTCCCCGCGCTCTCTGCCGACGCTGTGAAGGAGAAGCTGCCTGGTGCCACGGATGAAGAGATCAAGATGGCCGGCCGTTCTGGCATGCAGGGTCGCCTGCACTTCGGCCAAGGCCTCATCTTCGACGAGGCCTGCGACATTTTGCAGGAACTGGCGCTCCTGGACAAGCCAGGCGCGAAGAAGACCGACGACGTGGCATCGGGGCAAACGCCCAGCGCAGGGTGGGCGAACCGCCTCCTGCAGAGCGGGCGCTCTGATCACGACACCAAGACGGTCGGCTGCCACGGCGGCGTTGACGCGCCGTCCGTCAACGCCGCCGCCATTGCGAATATGCACCCAACTCCCGCCGTCGAGATGCACAAGGGCCTGCGAGGCGACCATGGGTGCCAAACTCGGGCTCGGCTGCTCTTCGCGACCGGGGGGCCCATTCAACCACGTCCGGCGGTGGATGCGGTAGGGGATATCGTTGCCAAGGTCGAGTATTTCGAGATCGCGGAGGTTCTGCAGGTGCACCTGGGCTTCGGAGACGCGCTCGAGAGCTTGGGGCGCGCCATGAAGTACTTCGAGCCGAGCACGTCAAGCCTGGAGGAGGAGGGCCTGGATGCGGCGATCATGGAGGCAGCGAAGCTCCCGTTCGTTCCAGACGAGCAGGGCAGGGAGCATGAGCTACCTGACGGGGTGGCCACGCGCGTGCGCATGGCCTGGAAGGGCGACAAGTACGTGCCTGAGTGGGCGCTCGCGGTCCGCGACGTCGACGTGCCCCAGAAACGCGACCTGCACGCGGCGGCGGGCATGTTGGTGGCGGCGTTCAAGAAGGACCACTGCGACATGGACTTCGACTCGAAGGCCAAGGGCGCGTTCTTGTCACACGCCGCGCGGTTCCAGATCAAGGTCAAACAGAACCGCGACAAGAACAACAGCTCCGCTGCTGCCGAGTCTGGGGCAGCGCCGTGGAAGCTCGGAATGCTTTCGGCGATGATCTTCCTCTGGGACATGATGTGGCGCGACGGCGAGGCGCGGGATGGGGGAACTGGTCAGGTCAGCGCTCCTCCCCCTCTTTCTCCCCCCTCCTCCCTCGAGAGGGGCGGGGAAGGGAGGGGGGAGAGGCGGGGCAGGAGCACAGACCTGACCAGCTTTCGACTCCCAAGAGGCGGCCGAGGCGGCGGCGGTGCCGCTTCTGATCGCGGTGGGGCAGGTTCACCGCGCATGCGGCCTGCTCGAGCACTTCAACGCCGCGTCCGAGGGTTTCCGCGGCGACGGCGACGCCCCCGGGCCCGGGAAGGAGCAGCGGCGCGCGGACTTCAATTTGGAGCCGCGCGCGCAGGAGTTCGCGTTTCTCGACAGCGACGCGGCCAGGCGCATCTTGCTGAAGGGCGCCGCGGTGAGGGATGGCCCCGACGACCAGTTCAAAGGCTCGTCTCGCGCATCGCGGGGCCTCTTCTCCAAGGAGGAGCTGGGCAAGGAGGAACAGTTCAGCGTGCACTCCTTCGGCGCCGTGGCGAAGCGGTAGAATATATATATATATATATATAGATAATACATATGCTTATATATATGTATTATATATATGTATACATATATTAGACTATATATATGTAATATTATTTTTATATATATACATATATATATTAGTATCATATATGTAATACATATATACGTATGTTATGTATGATTGTATGTAATATAATTTTGTAATATATGATGTATAATATGTATATATAGTTTATGCAAAGCTTATATTATATATGGTATATAACACACTCAAATAGAATATACATATTTATATGTATTCTATATGTTCCTAACATTAAATATACAATTTCTGATATGTGCATCTAATATACAATAACATACAAGTTTCAAAAACATTACACGTTTCAAAAGTTCCAAAAGTTCCAAAAGTTTCAAAAGTTTTGAAGCTGCCTGGTTGCATGTGGTTCTGGATCTTGTATACGATGGTACGTGGATCTCTGGCTTCCCGACACTTCTGAAGCTTTTTGAAACTTTTGATCTGTTTGAAACTTTTAATAATTAGGATAACTCTGATGCGTTTGAAACTTTTGGTATTGTTGATACTTTTGACACTTTTGAAACTTTGAAGCGTTCAAAAGTTTCAAAGGTATCAACAGTGCCAAAAGTTTCAAAAGTATCAAACGTTCCAAAGGTCCCAGAGGATTCAAAGATAAGTACCAGAAGATTCCGCAGTTTCAAAAGTTTCGACAGTTTCATAAGGTTCAAAAGTTTCGCAAATTCCAGAAGTTGCAGAAGTTTCAAAGTTCCAGAAGTTTCAAAAGCTTCGAAAGCTTCAAAAGCTTCAAAAGCTTGAACAGTTTCAAAGGCATCACACGTTTCAAAAGTTTCAAAAATTGGAAAAAGTTCCAAAATTTTCGAAAGTACCAAAGGCTTCAGAAGCTATAGTTGTTTCAAAAGTTTCAACAAAGTTTCAAAAGTTTCAAAAATCTCAAAAAGTTTCAGAAAAGTTTCAAGAGTTTCAGAGGTTTGAGTTTTGACCCGAACGACGCTGCACCCTTTCTTGTAACACCAACCACGCCAGAAGGCGCTCGCTCGAAATCGAACGTGCTGTCGGACCCGTGTAGTACCCAGCGGTCGTCCGTCGCATTGAACTTCCACACGTTGATGTCGACCTTGGCCGCCGCAACTGTGGCCTTCAGAGCCGCCGTGTTCGCCAGGCAGCCCGCCTTCGCCATCTGCTCGGCCTGCTTCGCGGTGACTCCGTACTTCTTCTGATGCTTCTTCATCCCAGCTGAGACGAGGAGGCGTAGCTTGGCTTGGGCCTTCCCACCTGGTTAGTCGCCCCCTGCGGCCAGGGGCTCGGGGCCGGCCGACGCATCGCGAATAGCTCGGCCGATGCATAGGAAGAAGCAGTCCCCACCGCCTCCACGCTCCACATCTTTGAATAGCCAGTCCAGGGTGGCTTCGCTGTGCGACGGGCGCGCTGCTGGGGGGGTTCGCCTTCCGACGACCCCAGCTGACGCCCCCCCCCCCCCCACACACACACACAGGAACTGCATGGGGCGGCAGAGCTCCATCTGCGGGCGCCGCGGCGGCGGTCGCAGGCTGCGTCGGCTCCATCTCCTCATCTGGCGTCGTAGTCGGGAGTCCTACGCGTGGCTGCGCAGTCCCCCAGGAAGGAGTAGGCTTGGAGACTGGAGTCGTCTGCCTGTCTCCTGCGCTGTTGTAGGCAAGTGCAACAGAAATGCCACTGGCGAACGTACGCGCCCGATCAGCATCTGAACGCCCCGCCGCCAGATCAGCTCTGAAGAACCAACGACGACGGCCTGCACGGTGCATTTTACTGGTGTTCGTGAAACCACGCCGCACTGACCACGACTCCAAATCCTCTGGATCAGCCCAGCTGCCAGGAGCACTCAAGGCACACCATTTTGGGAGGACGTCCGTGGCCAACGCCTGGTCCGTCAACACACCCAAGCTCGCGTCTTCCGACGGGCGGTAGCACATCCGCCCTGCCACAGAGGAGGAACTGACCAGCACTCTCGCCAGGTCAACTTCGTGGGTCTCGCCCTCCCTCTGCTTGAACCACCTGGGCACCAACGTTGAGCCCTGGATATTCGTGAACACACCCCTCGGCAGAGGAAACTTCATGAACTTCTCGAGGGACAACTTCTTCAAGATGAGGAGACAGGTCAACTCACTCTCATAATTGAGCGCACCTTTGACTTTCAGCACCGTCTTCTGAAGCTCGCCATTGAAGATGAGGGCCGCCAGCGCCACTGGGCGCTGGGCCGCTCGCGAGAAGAGATCATCCGCTGCGTCGCCCCTCGCCACCGTGAGTCTCACCTGCGCAGTCTCGAGGGCGGTCACCGTCTGGACGGGAGTGTCATCAACGATGCCTTCTGGTAGTCCCACACGTCGCGGTGGAGACGGGCCCAGCTCGATCAGGAGGCACCTCTGGGTCGCGGTACCCTTGGCTTGGCCCGTCTCCACCAACATGTCCACGAAGGAAGAGCCCTCGAGGACACACTGCAAGTTGAAGATAATGGTGGTAGCTGACCTCTCAGCACCCCCGAGAGCATCCAACCACCTCCTCGTCGAAAGATACTCCTTGTCATTCTGACACACGATGAGCGGAGGCTTCTCATAGTTACAGTCCTGCAAACGCTTGGCCGACCAGACGGGGCAGTCCTGCCCCCACCGGCTCTTGACGACTTTGATGTCCTTCTGCTGGTGCTGCTGTTGTTGCTGCTGCTGTGGGTGCTGCTGCTGCTGCTGCGTGGTGCTGGGGGAGCGGTGGAGCAGCTGCTGAAGTCGCTCACGTACCTGCCCCTTCTGTCGGTCTGTAGCCCGACACGTCGACCTTTTTGAACACGAAAGTCCGCCAACAGTCTAGGCTCCTGGGCGGGGGCCTGTGACTTCTTCTGGCGCTTGGTCTGGAAGCTCCCACCCACTCTCCCAGCGAGTGCCTGGAGAGCCTCCTGCATCTTCTGTATTTCGCTGGACAGGTCTCGGCGGCGCCCCTTCACCTTCGAGCCCTGAGGTCCCCCCTTTTTTATCACCACCTCCCACCCGCGGATCCTCCCAGGCGTCCACAGAGAAGGTCGGCGAAGGCATCAAAATTGTTGACCCATCGATATCCCCGTCGATTGAGTCGGTACCTGAGCCCTGCAGAAACCACACAGCACGGAGAACTCTGCACAACATGGTGAGAACGATACTCAACAGCACGGCGTTCACGTAGATCTGCTTCGAGCAAGGGGCTCGACCCACGTATCCCACGAGGAGGGCCTGGGTATGGTACGTGATGATGATGATGATGATGCTGTTGATGATGGTGATGGTGTCCTGATGAGATGGTGTTGCTGATGTTGTTCGTGGTACTGATATGATGATGATGGTGATGACTGTGGCGTTCCGACGATGATGACGATGGTGCCCCAAGTATGATGATGTTGCTGATGATGGTGACGATGATGGTGTCCCGATGATGATGATGATGATGATGGTGATGATGATGATGGTGATGATGATGGTGATGATGATGGTGATGATGATGATGGCGTCCCGATGATGATGATGATGATGATGCTGCTGATGATGATGATGATGACGTTGATGACGATGGTGTCGATGGTGATGATGATGACGCTGATGGTGAGATCGATTGGTCTATCGATAGTGATACCGAATGTGAGATACATTGCGAGATCGATCGTGGGATCGATAGTGAGATCGATAGTCATATCGATTGTGAGATCGATCGAATAAAATATATCGAGTGATATCGATTGTGAGATCGATCGAGCGAGATCGATCGAGCGAGGCCGATAGTGAAATCGATAGTAAGATCGATAGTGAGACCGATCGAGTGAGACGTTGGTTCCTCCCCCCCCAGAACCTCCTTATCACCCGAAGGGTGGTCGTATAGGTATATATATAATAAAAGAATGCGAGCCCGGGGAGAAACACCTAAACTGACGATTCATACTGATGGGCCTTGTCGCCCACTTCAGCACCACAAGGAGGTCCTTCAGAGCATTCCTGGTGCTGCTCGCGGAATTCAGCAGCACCAGGGACTCCGTCAGAGCAGTAGTGCCGTCAGTTGCGGAGGCCCCAATAAGGCCCAGGACGCTGAAGGAATTTCTGTTCGGGAAGCGTTTTTCTGCCCTCCCGCTCCGAGGAGGCCCCAGGAGACACTCAGGATTGAGATATGTGTTCGGGGAGCGCTTTTCGGCACCTCCGCTCCCAGGAGGCCCCAGGATGCTCCCTGAGGGCTCCCCGAGGGGGCCCGAACAAGACAACATTGGCGTGTCCCTTGGGGAAAACTTGCATGTTAGGCCAGCTCGCTCAGCAACCCTGCTGAGAAACACGAGACAGGTTAATAGGCCTCCAGGAAGTCCCTGCGAAGGCTCCTGGCGGCCCCGGGGCGGCCCAAGAGACACCCAAGACAGTCCCAGAGGACCCCGAGACGGGCTCAAGACCGCCCAAGATGGCCCCACGACGGCGCATCACGGGCCCACCCGACCCAAGATGGCCCCAGCACGGTCGGCGAGGCGCCGCAGAGGGCCCCAGGAGGGCCCCCTGAGGCCCAGCAGAACCTCCAAGACGGCTCCCCAAGAAACCCCCCCACGAGACCCTCCCGTCCTCCCGGTCACGCTTGCGAGCAGCGCTTGGGCGCCTGCCCCCTCCCCGAAGCACTGCCCTCTGCGAACAGCGCCTGGGCGCCCAGGACACGTTCCTCCGAAACACCTAAGAGGTCGGCGGATGTGGCATCAGCTTGTAGAATCATACGTGTTCCATGGTTTTGGCCTCTCGAGGGCTTCCCCAGGGCTCGTTCGGACCTCTTTTTTTTCGCAAAGACAAGGCGAGGTGCAGTGGCAGCAATGGTCTGTCTGGCTGATGCGGGCCAGAATACAAGGCTGAAGCGAATTCTAAA